GCGTTTACGTGAACAAGCCCAGCAGACCGGCGAGTCCTTCACAAGTTTTATCGAGGACATCCTCGACTTGTGCAAGAAAGTCGACCTGAACATGTCAGAGGCTGACAAGATCACGCATGTTCTAAAAGGCATCGCCGACGATGCCTTCACCATGCTCATGGCAAAGAACCCCCGCACTGTGGCGGAAGTCATCATGTTATGCCAAAGTTACGACGAGCTGCGGCGGCAGCGCTTGATGACCCGTCGACCGCCACCACGTGATGCTGATCTCTCAGCCTTGTCAGCAGTTTCTGACCACGCAACCTTGCTCGCCGAAATCAAGTCGTTCGTGCGTGAGGAAGTTGCCCGCCAGGTCCCTCTACTGGCTTTTGCTTCCCCACAACATGCTGAACAGCCATAAAGCACACTTCTACCTCCGCTCTGCCGAGCCATTCAGCAGGAAATCGCGGAGGTCGTTTCTGAATACCACCAGCCGCCTCCTGCATCTGTGCCACTCAGCTACGCCCAAGTTGTTGCCAGGCCGCCCCCACCGATTTCTCCAACTGTTCCCATAAATTACACCGAAACCGTCGCGAGGTTCCAGGCCTTTGGAGAAACTGCCTCGCCTACATACGCCGGCGTCACCCACGTGCCCCGAGTGCCGCCCACCATGCACTCATATCAGCAGCCGGCTCGCCAATCGCGTTCTGCGACATGGATGCGACCCGCAAACCAATGGCGCACTGCTGACAATCGCCCCATATGCTTTGCTTGTGGTTGCGTCGGTCATGTAGCACGCTATTGCAATCGTGTGCAGCAACCGCAGGTCGCCTCCAACTTTTTCAGCCAGTCAAGCCGCTCTTATGACCAACCACCTCCTATGTCACCGTCGTCCCGTCCCGTTCCGTCTACCCGCCGTTCACCATCTCCACGGCGTCGCTCACTGTCGCCAATGCGGCCACGTCCACTCGAGGGCAACCAGGAAAACTAGTCGTCGCATTCCACGAGGCAAGGGCTGCGACGCTGTCGAACTGCCGAAGCCCTCAGGAAAGCCCGTCGAACGTGATAGACGTGCTTGTGGATGGCGTTCGTGCATCTGCCCTTGTAGATACTGGAGCCGCCGTATCCGTGATGGACGAAAAACTTAGCCGATTACTGCGCAAAGTGACCACGCCGCTTTGTGGGCTCTCCCTCCGTACAGCCAGTGCCCAGAGTATTCACCCTACGGCGATGTGCACAGCCCGCCTTATGATTCAGGACGTGATGTATGCGGTCGAATTCATCATAATTTCTTCATGCTCTCACGACGTCATCCTAGGATGGGATTTTCTCTCCCGCCACGACGCCGTCATTCATTGCGCACCAGCAGAAATAGAACTCACGACATTCTCTTCTTTGACGCCAGCCGACAGTCCATCCGCTGCAAGCAAGTTACTCGTCAGAGACGACACTCAAGTGCCTGCAAACTCGTCCGTTGCGGTGTCGCTCTACTGCGCAAGCCTTTCTGACACCATTGCACTCCTCTCGCCATCTCATCGTGTTTTCATCAGAAAAGGCTTGCTGGTTCCTTTCGCGACCGTGCAACTCACTCACGGCAGCACCACTATTTTTGTTGTGAACTCATCTCCGTACAGCGTTACGTTGGTGCGAGGGGAATGTCTCGGCAGCGTGGAACCCATCGAAGACGCGCAAGTTATGGATCAACCCGATGACATGCACTGGTCAAGTTCCTGTACGCTTGGTGCTGTTTCGACATCTGCTTCATCACCCGATGATATATTCGGTCCCTGCATACCCGACGACCTTACGCAGGGCCAGCGTTCCCAGCTTTTGGGCCTGTTGTAAGAATTCCGCTCTTCTTTCGATGTCGCTCAACCTTCTCTCGGCCGCACATCCACAGTTACGCATCGCATCGACACAGGCGCACAGCCACCGCTGCGGCAACGTCCATATCGCGTATCTCCCACAGAACGCCGTGTAATCAACGAGCAAGTCGACGACATGCTTCGCCGCGATGTTATTCGCCCCTCTAGCTGCGCCTGGTCATCTCCTGTCGTTCTCGTTACGAAGAAGGACGGTTCTGTGCGGTTCTGTGTGGACTACCGACGCCTCAACAAGATCACTCGTAAGGACGTGTATCCACTACCGCGGGTAGATGACGCGATTGATAGCCTGCAAGGAGCAGAATTCTTTTAATCTCTCGATTTGCGCTCAGGGTACTGGCAAGTACCTATGGCTGAGGACGCTCGACCGAAGACCGCTTTTGTCACCCCCGACGGCTTGTACGAGTTCAACGTTATACCGTTTGGGCTGTGCAATGCGCCCGCCACCTTTGAGCGCATGATGGATACAGTTCTGCGTGACCTGAAATGGCACACGTGCCTGTGCTACCTCGATGACGTCGTCGTTTTCGCTCCTGACTTCTCGACGCATCTTCAACGCCTTCGGCATGTTTAACGCGTCTGAGCAACGCCCGTCTGCAACTGAACTTAAAGAAGTGCCAATTTGCAGCTCGGAAGCTGACAATACTCGGCTACGTCGTGTCCAAGGACGGAATTCTCCCTGATCCAGTCAAGCTTCGGGCCGTGACCGAGTTCCCCAAGCCGACATCCGTCAAGGAACTGCACAGTTTCGTAGGACTGTGTTCCTACTTTCGGCGCTTCATTCGAAACTTCGCGACTATCATATCGCCGCTGACGAAGCTTCTCGGAAGTAATGGGCCTCTCCATTCGTGGTCATCACAGTGCGACGACGCTTTCAGAACACTTCGTCGTTTGTTGACGTCGCTTCCATACTCCGCCACTACGACCCTACGGCCCCTACAGAGGTACACACGGATGCCAGTGGTGTCGGCCTCGGTGCTGTCTTTGCGCAGCGCAAACCAGGGTTCCCGGAATATGTCGTAGCGTACGCGAGCCGTACGCTTACTAAAGCCGAGACTAATTACACAGTAACCGAGAAAGAATGTTTGGCAATCGTCTGGGCTCTTGCAAAGTTCAGACCTTATTTGTATGGTCACCCATTTGATGTCGTCACCGACCACCACGCACTATGCTGGTTGTCGTCATTGAAAGATCCCTCAGGCCGTCTCGCCCGGTGGGCACTTCGCCTGCAAGACTTTGACATCCGCGTGCTGTACCGCAATGGAAGGCAACATGCTGATGCCGACGCCCTGTCGCGCTCTCCCTTGCCTGACGACAATGCCAACAACTCAGTGTCTCACCTTGCCATTTCTTCGATTAGCATTCATGTCATTGCTACTGAACAGCGCAAGGATCAATGGATTGCCTCACTGATAGACTTTCTGACTTATCCATCCACTCCATCCACTCGCACGTTGCGTCGTCAAGCCCACCATTTCGCCGCTCGCGACGACCTCCTCCACCGACGCAATTACAACGGTGACGGCCGCCAGTGGCTACTAGTCATACCTCGCAGTCTGCGCTCTGACATATGCGAATTCCTTCATTCTGATCCGCAATGTGCGCACTCCGGGGTAGCGAAGACTTACCACTGCATTCGCCAACGGTACTTTTGGCGCGGCATGTACCGCTACGTGCAGAAATTCGTTCGCTCCTGCATAGAATGTCAGCGCCGCAAAACTTCAACGCAACTGTCGCCGGTAGGTCTGCAACCTCTACCTTGCCCTGCCAGGCCGTTTGGGCGCGTTGGAATTGATTTGTATGAGCCACTTCCACTAACGTCAGCTGGTAACCACTGGGCCATTGTGGCTGTGGACCACCTCACGCGATACGCCGAAACGGCCGCTCTTCCCGCGGCTACAGCGAGCGATGTGGCCTCCTTCCTGCTCCAACGATTCATCCTGCGACACGGTCCACCCCAGGAACTGCTCAGTGACCGAGGCCGTGTCTTCCTGTCTGAAGTCGTTGAAGCCATTCTCAAAGATTACAACGTTGTTCACCGCAAAACTGCCGCTTACCACCCGCAGACGAATGGCCTCACTGTACGCTTCAACCGTACGCTCGGTGACATGCTCTCCAAGTACGTCGCCGCCGATCACACAAATCGGGATTCCATACTACCCTTCGTCACCTACGCATATAATACCGCCCCTCAGTGCACTACTGGCTTTTCACCTTTCTTTTTATTATATGGAAGGCACTCGTCACACACCATCGACACGATAGTTCCGTACAGGCCAGATCCGTCTGAGTGGGCACCTATTTCTGCTACAGCCAAGCTTGCTGAAGAGTGTCGAGAGCTTGCAAAGACCTTTACTGCGCATGATCAAGAGCGGCAAAAAAGCATTCGCGCTGACGCCAGTACTACTGCGCCCACGTTCCTCCCTGGAGCGCTCGTCTGGCTCTCGATCCCTACTACTGCAACTGGCCTATCTTCAAAACTATTGCCCAAGTACGAAGGCCCCTACCGTGTCGTCAAATGCACTTCCCCAGTCAACTACTTGATTGAACCCATCGAACCATCGTCGGACATGCGTCATCGAGGACGCGACATTGTTAACATGGAGCGCCTCAAGGCCTACCATGACCCGCTCATTGTAACCAGCTGTTAGGTCGCCAGGCGGCTCCCTTTTCGTACCCGTGGTAGTTGTGGTAAAGCCTTTGAACAGTGGGTCATCCTCTTCAGTGCCTTCTAGTGGGTCGCCCTTTTCGCAAGAAGAAGAACAGCTCGCGCAGAGAGTCGATCCCCGCTTTGACTGTCGCTGTCGTGAATCATCGTTGAGTGTCCGCCAATAAACCGCTTAACAATATATATATATCGCTGACACACACTGAATCGCCTGCCGATTCCCCGGAGCTCACCGCCAGAGACCGGCGCGGCGTTGTCGTAGGTTCGAAAGCTTGGGCTTTGGTTGCCTATTGTCTCACAAAGCGTGTATGAAGTGCCTTAGTCGTGTGTTATTATTAACAAGTGCTAACGTAGCACGCAAAAAGAAATTTGTGCTAATGAGAAAGACTGTAGGCAAACGTCAGCCACGTACTCTGTGCTCATGAACGTGCAAAACGCTGTGTGCGTTTGAAAAAAAAATATATACTTACGTTTGCATACTTCCAAACATTTCTTCACTGTTGCAAAACCGTTTTGATTACTCTCGCACTTCGAGTACCAGTACTCAAAGCATTTTTTCTTGGAAGGAACATAACCCCATCTTTTTTCGGGAACCTTACTTCCGCACATGCCCGTGGCCTCTTTAATCGGCAGTTCGCAAAGCCTACCATTGATTCCTGCAAGAAACAATAAATATGACAATATATCTGGATAGATGTGTCCTCTCAGCGAGACACAAAAATAAAAGTCAGTTTGGCCGTAATGATGGAGCAATTAATGTGATTGCAACGAAATAAGATTTCATATGAAGAGAACCCGGCAGCTCACTCATTTAGAAAGCGTGGCAGCTGCAGCGAGCGAATGGGCATTTGTGCTTTCTGTGGCTTTAAAGGAAACTGCCACAGCGTGAGCAAGGTATTGAAGAAACAATGCATCTGTTTAACTCCCTCGAATAATAATTGACTTACAGAGTGTCATCACCTGTGCTGACACGCAGACGCCTTCTTGATATCCTACTTATGCGATGCAACAAAACTCTATGGTGTGATCCTGGCTCTTTGCGCCATTTCGCTGGGGATTATGAATAAACCAGCAGTACTATGCACAAGCTCCTTTGAGATGTGCGTTCCACCAACGACAAATGCTCTATATAGATAGGCGACCGTTATTATGCAGGAGGATGCATGCGGGGTGGTCGAGTGGCTTAACACATCGCTCGCAGGACGAGGGCTCCCAGTTTCACATTCTCGGTCACGTGCTGTGGAAAATGTTTATCAACAGTGAAGTCGGGGTCCACACAGCTGGACTAAAATTTTTGTGTTTTGAATGTAACATAGTAAAATATACACTCGGAGATGTCAAAGAAAAAACAACAAAAAGAAAATCTATCCCCTGGGCTCTAAACTACGACCTTTTGCTCCACACGCGGCCCGAACCAACTCGGTCGCAAGACGTACGCTCTTTAATTTGCTGATAACCGGCTATTTATGTACACCATTTACTAAGAAATCCATTTACACGTTACGGCACTCAGAGAATAGCGATTTTAGTGTATTCTTCTTATGACTGGCAATATGGCACGATGAGTCTGGAGGGCGTGCTATAAAGATCGGTGCCCCGAGCGCTGGGATGCACGCACATTTCGACAGGGATTGGTCGCTCGTGCGCCCGTGCTTTCGTCGTGATCTGTGTTGTTTATAGGCCTTGAGCTTTCCCTGCGAGTGTCTGATGAAGTTACAGAGAGCACTAAGGTCACTTCACTTACTGCATCAGCCACACTTGCGAACGGAGTGCACTGCTTACAGAAGCATAATGTTTACGTGTAGTAACACACAAAACATGTGTTAAAATAGAACGACACAACTTTCAGCTCTCCCATAGTAGAGTACTCTAAATTGTTTACCACTTTTTCTAAACACGCATAAGTGACAAATGTGACAGCCAATTCACACTTGTTTTGTGTGTACTTGTATACTTGTACATTTTTTCCGTGCATTTCTTTTAATGTTTAAGCATAGCACTTTAAAGTGACACTAAAGGCAACTTTTAAGTCAACTTTTATTGTTAAAATAGTGGTACAGAAACCTCGTAATGTTACTTTTGTGCCAAGGAAGTGCTTCTCTTGAAACAAAATCCCGGCTTAGTGGTGCGCATTGGGTAAGAGCACTTCAAATTGCCCGCCTCAAGCGGTATGTGTGACGTCACTGTTGCCGTTAACAACGGTGCCCGGCTTTACTGCGCGGCAACCACAGCAGAACAAAAGTAGCGGGAGTTACAGAAGCAACAAAGATTATTGAATAATGTCTGCCCTGGCCTGCGAGAAGGCAGACGTGCTTGGTTCAACCGGGCCCCGCTAGAAGGCATGGCCTGTCTAGTTTAACAAGGCGAAAATCAGTTTTGAACCACTCGCGCTATTCCCTATAGTAACGTTCGGTCGTTCTTTTTTCCGTGAATCAAACACAGACTAACAAGAAGCATTTTATTACGTCTCTTGATGCACGGAAGGTTCTTTATTTAGTGCAGCTAGTCCGATTAGCACTGACTAATAGTAGGCGGTACCTTTGATGTAATCAGGGTCATTTGGGAATTTCCTATCGTAGCACATGTGTTCTCGTTTGTTTACCTTAATTTCTCGGTAAGTATGGCACCACTCTAGATAATATTGTAGTTTTAGACGATGTCATGCCTTGAGCTATCACTCTGATATAAATTGTTATTTAACTTTAGCTTCCTTTTAATTCTCTAGCTGTGATAGTTGTTAGTTCGCTCGTGCCCTGTGCATGCTAGTGCGTCCTTTCTGTTTGAGGAACGCGCTGCAAGTTTCCATGGGCTTTCCGTTGTTCACGTGTCATTAAAATTTGTTGCTATAGCATTCATTCCTGCGATCTTGCGAGAAAAATGCACAATATACTCTCGACTACCTTTGTGATGTTTCACTTTCTTGTTATACCAATACCTATGGCAGAGACATCAAACATGTTTTTATGAATTGTTATTTTTTGTATGTTACATTATTTTGAGGGCAGAGTCTTCAAATAATAAGAAGGCCAAGTTTTGCACGTCTCTCCCCATGTACAGGTTCACAGGAGAATGACCCCTTTCTCCCCTACCCTGTAGAGTCCATCTTAGCAGCCAGAATAGCCAGAATTACCCTTTACGTTTTACAGCGAAAGTTGTTATAAGATCAGAACACAGGTCACATATGGCGCCGTAGTTGTCCGCCGCCACTGCTGTAGCCGCCGGTGTCCGTAAGCAATATCACAATAAGTAGGGGAAAAAATCTCAGTGAATAAAAACACCAAGGCTACAATGGGATTAGATTCCGGGTCCTCTGCGTGCCAGCCCAGTATTTCACCACTGAGCCGCGCAGGCACTTGAAACTCATTCCGAAACTGGCCTTAGGCAGGCTTGATGCCGGGAAAGAAATCTCGCTAATATCAGTAATAAAGCATTTTAGAACATCAACGGAACAAGCAAGCGTCACACAATGTGAATTACGTAAAAAGTAGGTAATTCAATGATCCAGTATAATACAAAAGCTTGTTTTAGTTCACCTAATACCTTTGGCCCATACCCACTTCAGGCATAATTCTTCATCGTCGTCAGCCACTGCATAAAAATATTGCACAATGTTCCAAACGTGTGTGTGGCAGATACCACGCTTCTCCAAAGATGACAAAGGATAAGGTAGCGAATCAGAGACTACTACACAAAAATTACGATTATTTATGGCGAAGTGGGTGCCCAGCAAGTGGGCTTGTCGCAGTTGAAGTTAAAAATCATGTGTACACATGAGCCCAATTTTTTTCTTTCACCACCCGGCGGCGAGAAGTTACCTTTTCATCCACTTTTCTTCACCATTACATTACAAATACTTCTAATAGCATACCCTGTACTTTCCTTGGAATCATTGTCTGTTACTTCTAGCTCATACCATGTCTAACAAAGAAAACGATGCATTTATGCTTACACTCATTTATATCCTTCATTCATAGCGAGGATCTCGTTCTGGCAGACTTGGTGCCTTCAGGTAGTATGCAAAGGACTATTGGTCAGCTGCCAGCTCGCAATGAGACCACGTGATACGCGACGCCAACAGGCAAAATAAGCCTTACACACTCACCGAAATGGCTACTGATGGCGCTGAATGTCAGTCGCACGTTTAAATGCACATATATACCCTATAAAGGAAGCGGAGGAATGACCACTGCCGTAGCTCAGTGGCAGAGCATCGCACGCATTATTCGAAGGTCACGAGGTTCGGTTCCTGCGGGCGGCAAGTTATATTTTCGTCAACTTTCCTTTCTTCACATTTATATTAAAACTAATTCCAATAGCATCCTACATACGTTTCTTGGCATCATTGTCAGTTAATTCTCTTTTATTGCATTGTATTTCCATATTGCCCGTTGCTCGACTACAATGTTTCATATGAATATTTTATTACTCACCTTTTTCGGCTGCAGATAGTTCGATAACTGTAAAGAAATGAAATACGGGGAATTGCGGCTACATAAACAATGAACAGATAGCAAACATTACGTAAACAACACCGCTGGTGATTTGCAGACATTTTATTACACTCGTTTCATAACTTCGACGCACTTTCGTGTTTTCAGCGCTTATTCATCAAAGCAATGTTGTTACAAAACTTTCTCAACGACCAGAATGATTTTTTGTGATGTTCGCAATGCCAGTGTATTTTCTATATGTACTTCCTTTTGGCTTACACATTCTTTCGGTAAGCGTAAACAGATTTATTGTACCATGCATGCATTACTTTGTACCTACAGAAACTTTTGTCAGTTACCTAAGTTATAAAAAAGTAAAATACCTGACCTGATTTCATCATTTTGTAACAAGTTATTATCGCCCAATAAGAAATGTTGGTGAGGTCAACGTGTTCACTAGAGATTGGTCTTTGTAATGGAAGCAAATGTTTCCCTTCGAGAATGGTTTACTGTGTGCATCAGTCTTACTTCTGCGCCGTTTAGAGAGGAAAGGAACAACGTTGTACGAAAAAAAAGCGCGCACTCGCTTACTAACACATTCTTCTTCTGCAGTGCTATTGAGTATGGGGGAGAGAAAGAAACTTATGTCCAAAACGATGTAGGACGAATACTCGAGAAAAAGTTGGGGACTCCAAAGTGTGCAAGGAAACTTGAAATTATAAGCATAACATTAGGATATCTGAAGAAAAGAAAATGATTAGACAAGCTATTATAGTTGATATTGAAAGAAGGGATTTCGGCCATCTACGCTGTGCGTGGGGCAGAAAATTGGTGCTGTGGTAAAGCAACAGAAAAGATACCTAGAGAAGGGAAGAGAAGCCGCGAACAGCAGCAAGTTAAATAGATCGTTGAAGCAAATGAGTTTGCAGGGATAAAATATAATAGGCTCACTTAGCAAAGGGCGAATGAAGATCACATGCAGAGTTTTTGTCCTGCACTGGACATTACATCAGGCTGAAAAAAAAATATTATGACGATGATGATAGCCGTCGAAGTAGTATAGTGGTTATTACGCTCAACTGCTGAGCCAAATATGGCAGAATAAAATTATGGCTGTGGCAGCCGCGTTTCGATAAAGGCAAATCGCCACAGGCCCATGTACTTGGAGATTTATGTGTACGCTGAAGAACCACAGAACGCAATAATTTACGAATTTTTAATACCTTCTATCGAAAACGAGGAAACCGTAACTGGACATGGAGGAGCTCTAATGGCGAAAACAAGAACGAAATAGACTTTATAATGAGTGCACACCAAGGCATCATGCAGGATGTGGTAGTGGTTGGCAAGGTACGATGCAGTGACTATAGAATGGTAAGGTCTCGAATTAGCCTAGACTTGAAGAAGGAACAACATAAACTGATACGCAAGAAGCCAATCATTGAGCAGCACTGAGAGGGAAAGTACAGGAATTCAGAGTCTCGCTTCAGAACAGGTACTCGGCTCTTATTGAGGAAACCAACCTTAGCGTAGATACAATGAATGATAATCTGACGAATATCATTACGGAGTGTACAGTGGAAGTTGGAAGCAGGGTAGTTAAACAGGACACTGGCAAGCTTTCGAACAAAACAAAGAATCTCATTAAGAAACGTCAAATCATGAAAGTCTCAAATACAACAGACAACATAGAACTGGCAATGCTTTCGAAGTTGATTAATAGGTGTAAGGTATCCGACCTAAGAAGGCATCACATGGAGAAAATTGAACACGCTCTGAAAAACAGAGGAAGCATCAAAGCAGCGAAGAGGAAACTAGGGATAGGCAAAAATCGGATGTATGCACTAAGGGACAAAGAAGTCAAAATAACTACCAATATGGATAAGATAGTTATAATAGCGGAGGAGTTTTTGTACAGTAGCCGGGACAACCACGACTTTAATACTATAAGAAATATCTGTAACCCAGATGACACCCCACCAGTAATGATAGAAGAAGTCAGAAAAGCTTTGGAGAGCAGGCAAAGAGGCAAAGCTGCTGGTGAGTATCAGGTAACATCAAATCTGCTGTAAGATGGAGGACAGATTGTGCTAAAAAAACTAGTCATCCTGTTTACGACGTGTCTCTGACGGGGAGAATACCAGAGTCTTGGAAGAATGCTAACATCATCTTAATACATAATACAGCACATGACAAGGACTCGAAGAATTACAGGCCGATCAGCTTTCTCTCTGTAGTATGCAAGCTATTTACAAAGGTAATTGCTAACAAAGTAAAGAAAACATTAGAATTCAATCAACCAAAGGAACAAGCAGGATTTCGAACAGGCTACTCAACAATTGACCACATTCATACTATCAATCAGGTAATATAGAAATGCTCAGAGTATAACCAACCACTATACATAGCCTTCATAGATTACGAGAAGGCGTTTGATTCAGTAGAAATATCAGCCGTCATGCAGACACTGTGGAATCAGGGCGTAGATGAAGTATATATAAACATTCTGGAAGAAATCTACAGGGGATCAACTGCTACCATAGTGCTTCATAAAGAAAGCAACAGAATACCAATCAAGAAGGGTGTAAGGCAGGGGGACACAATCCCCCCATTGCTATTTACCGCGTGCTTACAGGAGGTTTTCAGAAGCCTAGATGGGGAACAGTTAGGGATAAGAGTTAATGAAGAGTACCTTAGTAACCTGCGCTTCACCGATGACATTGCATTGCTGAGTAACTCAGGGGACGAATTGCAACTCATGATTACGGAGTTAGACAAGGAGAGCAGAAGCGTGGGTCTAAAATTTAATATGCAGAAAACGAAAGTAATGTACAACAACCTCGGAAAAGAGCAGCGCTTCGAGATAGGTAATAGTGCACTTCAAGTTGTACAAGACTATGTCTACTTAGGGCAGGTAATAACCGCGTAGCCGAACCACGAGATTGAAGTAACTAGAAGAATAAGAATGGGGTGGAGCACACTTGGCAAGCACTCTCAAATTATGACAGGTAAATTGCCACTATAACCGCTGCATCTTGCCGGTACTTAGCTACGGAGCAGAAACCTGGAAACTTACAAAGAGGGCTCAGCTTAAATTGAGGACGACGCAGCGAGCAATGGGAAGAAAAATGGTGGGTGTAACCTTAAGAGACAAGAAGAGAGCAGAGTGGATTAGGGAACAAACGGGGGTTAAGGATATCATCGCTGAAATCAAGAAGAAAAAATAATCATGGGCCGGGCATCTAGCGTGTAGGCAGGATAACCACTGGTCGTTAATGGTAACTGACTGGATTCTCAGAGAAGGCAAGCGGGTTAGGTGCAGACAGAAAGTTAAGTGGACAGATGAGATTAGGAAGTTTGCGGGTATTAAGTGGCAGTAGCAGGTACAGGACTGAGTTGACTGGCAGATCATGGGAGTGGCCTTTGTCCTGCAGAAGACGTAGTCAGGTGGATGATGATGATGATGATGATGATGATGGTGATGATGATGATGATGATGATGAATATTGTACCAGATTATGAAGCTGAATTTCGAGCCAGCATTTCGCACCAGTTTCATATGCTTTCTTCTGAATATTTAGTCCGTTTGCATTAGTGAACTCACAATATTTGTGACACATGCGCATAGTACCAAGCGATTTAAAGGCATGTCAGTTATACCCATGAAGTAGACAGCAGCACCCAGAGCAGCTGCAGTTTACAAACACCTTTCCAGTCAGAAAGAAACGTCCTGGGTCATCGCATTTATATTTGAAGCTTGCAAATATCTCTTTTTTCTTCATGCCAGCTCTCTAGGAAAATTCAGATGATGGTGGTGCGAGAGGAAAAAAAGGGCCCGCAGCCATGGACACATCCAATTGTGTAAATAAAACTACATGCTCATTAGGTGTACTGCATGTGATGCAATGTGTGACTGCACTGTCGCTGTTACTTAAAATTAACACCGCTTCACTAGCACATATATCAGTTTATGCTATGTTCATTTTTCTCCGGTTTCAATGGAAAACATCGTTTAACAGTCAAATCCTTATTTGTTGTCCTAGTGTGTTAAAAGAAGTCGCTGAGTCAAGGTTTATTCTGCTTTTTCTAGCTTTATTACATTACAATGAGTGGTGTACAAAGAGTCACGTAAGCTTTTGGTACAGATTTTTGAACATCCAATAGTTCAAGCTCCGGTGCAATCAGTGCGGTGTACTTCCTGATTGGTGATATTGTGTTGAGCACCATTTATGAATTATACGAGTTTGACAGATTATTTGATTACTCATTTTTGATCAAACCTTAATCGTGCCATAAAAGGGCTTCTTCATGAAGACGCTAACATTCCAATTAACAGTCTTCCTATTCAAGCAATACTCACCGCTTGGAGCAAGAAATACAGCCATTACAAAAACTATGACTCCACATTTTGTTGCCTCCATGATTCCAACTGACATGTTCTGCTGTACCAACCCAGTACCTCATCACACTTATATATCATGCTTCACAGTTCCCGTTTTAACGTAAAGCCATTGACTGGTTTTACGCTGTGCATAAAACCAGACGATGGTTTTTTTTTTTTTTTACTGTGCCTCAGACACAGGTGTCGACGTTTCGCTATATTGTCTGGAAAATATGATAAATTCAGGGGCACGAAAATGTTCATGAACGTATATATCAAGGTTCTCAAGAAAGATTCCGGAAGTGCTCTAAAAAGATGTAGAGATCTTCATCTATCGTCAATTTCCCTTTTGGTGACTTTTACTGCCAGCGGTCGGGAGATGTCTTGTCCGCGATTAAAGGTACGTTTTATTCTTCACGTATAATTCCATACATGGTTATAATCGAAATACAGCTTTGAATTTTCAATAATGTAGACATTTTCAGCTTGTTCTACGTCTCAAAAGTCTTTTGAGTTAACACTGTTAGGTCTGGTATATAGGTGTACCTTTGAATTCAACGTATGGCTTAGGATCATAGACCGACATACGACAGAAGGTGAATGGACTGAGAAGTCCGGTCTGGCCGATCTCATACATTGTGAGAATCATTTCCCGTGGGGGGTCAACATGAAGTAGCTTATGCTTCATTTTTTTTCAAGGTGATAGAGTTATAGAGCTCGTTTCGCAAAAATTCTGGCATCGGTGAGGGTTCCGTTGGTTGTGGACGAAAAATCGTCTTGTGCATGACCGCAAATTCAAGAAAGAAGCTAACAAAATACATGATAGAAGTTTGTGGGTCAGAGCGACGATCGATTGCACCCGGGGCATATGCGTGGCAAGAAGGTGTTCTACCACACAGCTACCAGTCTGCGTAGAAAGAAATTGACAATAACTTCATCTAGTTGCAAATACAGTGAAAATAACTTACATGTTTTACGAATACATGGGTACTGTACATAGGCTTGACAACACCACAAGTGATATCCCAGTAATATTACGTAGTACAAGCGTACATTTCAATCCGACGTCGGAGCATGTGTAGATGTAGATCTAGATTCTAAATTTCTGGCTCACACCCACCTTGGGGGATTGGCCAAGAATTGGGTAGCTTAACAAAAAGTAATATATTTATTTGAATACTATCAAATATAATAATGCCAAAATTATTGATTTTTTGTAAATTATTCTTCAGAAAAAAAATACATGAATTAGTTCCTACTGAAAGAGCAGTAAATGATTGATATAAAAGAAAATTTTCCTGTTACCTACATTGGTTAACTGAGAACCTGTTGGTATTGAGGTGATTGAGCAAATCTTTTTGACTGTTCAATAAAATTTTGCACAGCCTCGCACACTTTCCCGCTGCGGCACCCAAGGGTATGTGCACCTAGGGATAGTAAATTTGACGTTGTCAAAGCTAATCCAAGAATTCGTAACGGTATTTCTAGAATACCTTTCTTATTTTGAAAACATTCTACAAGAGGTTAAAAAGTGTTCCACAGTTTCCTCTTCTAGACAAAAAGAACAGAGCGGGGAGAGATTCGAGCCTGCTCTAAACAAAATAAATATTTAATTGAGGAAAATGACAGCATAATTGCGTGAATAAAACTTCCAGGCATCGGTTATGACACGAGGAAGTTTTCCAGGGTGCCATTAGATGGTTGAAATCTGGGGAATTTTTTAAAGATGGTGTAGAGAATTCTGGCATCTTCATTTGCCTCCGAAATCTAGCCGCTACTATAAAATGTGTTTTAGGGGTAATATCGATCGCTGGTTCATCTAACACCGCTTTCGCTAGGGCATCAGCAGCTTCATTTAGAGTTATGCTTCTATGCCTCGGCACCCACACTAATCGCACCTGAGTTAAGTTACTCGGTACTAGGGAGTTGAATTCTCTTAATGCTTTTGAATCATCGGATGCCCTGAGCGCATTGCAGACCGACAAGAAATTCGTTATTACTACGGCGTAATTTATTCATGTTGGCAGTTTTCGAAAGGCCAATACTGCACCTAGAAATTCTGCGATAAAGATAAGTGTGATTTCTAGAATTCAGACAAAAAAGGACCAGTCTAGAACAGGGCAGAATAAAACAATGCAACTCCTTTCATCTATCTGTAAAGCATCCGTCGTAATGATGACCTGCGCTTGCATTGCTAACAGGTAGGCCTGTGAAGTAGCTCTTAACATATTACTCGGAAGGTGTTTAGCACTATTAAAGAAAAATGTTATCAAAGTATATTTGGAGAGAACTTGTCAAGGCACAAATTGGAAGAACCTCCGTAATTTGTGCAGACAGTGCGTCAAGAAGGGGCTGTACAAACTTTACTTGAGGTGTGTGAAATCTAGGCAAATGACAATCGAAAAATCAACCAGGCTGTGCAATGAAAACTGTTTATTTACGCCTTAACAGAGATTCAAGCACCCTTAGATACGTTTGTACAGCGAATATTCTGAATCTGGTAAGGAGTGAGGGAATTCTATCTTACTTATATAAAACTTTATTCGCTGCAAATTAAGGTAGCCCTAAGCGCATGCGTAGTGTCTGCTCCTCCAGAAGAACAAGAGGACGAAGTTTATAGGCTGGTGCCCCGGAGTATAAGACACATCGAAAATCTAGGACCAGCCTCACACACATGCGTTATATTGATAATAACGTGGCTCTGCGTATTTCTGATCTCCTGTTGCTTATCCTCCGTAATAAGCCAACTGCCCGAACACCCTTTGCTGTCATATATATATATTCGATGTAGTTTCGCCATAATAGAGATCTGTCATATATCAGTCCTCGATATTTGATGCCATGAATTTGCGGAATGGTATCAGTTTGTATGAGAGAGATATATGTGCTGGGTCGTTCATAGGAAATACTAATATTACACACTTGTTCACATTTAGATAAAGATGAATCACATCAGCCACTGCTCTATTTCAAATGAGTACATTTGTAGGTTTTGATAGAGAGCGTGAATGTCATGAGCCGACGAAGAGAACGCGATATCATCACCACAGAAATACGTATGAACATTCTGATTACATGGGATCGAGTTTATTAAAATATGGAATAATACCGGAGAGAGAACAGCGCTCTGGGAACTCGTTTTTTTTTTGTTTAAAAGTACTTGATCAAACACCATCTTGCGAACAGTAAAATTTTCTATTTCCTGAAAATTTCGTAATCCACGCTTCCAAATAATTCGGCAAATCAATTTTTCTCAGCCGACTGACTAGTACACTATGTTCGACACTATTATACGCCTTTGTGATGTATAGGGTAACTAGAGCTGCCGCATACTACCCTTCACGTCGCGCTAGATGTATGAGAATCTCTAATTCGATATCTGCTTGCCATATGAGACATCCTTGCCTGAATCTAATTTGACATGGACAAAGAATCCTTTCTCTGTATACAAATTTCGTTATGCGAACGTGCACTACTTTTTCTATCACTTTGACAAAACTGGACGTTAGTATAATAGGCCTAATGTTGTCTAAAACGTAACATTCGCCTGGTTTTTTTAGAGCAGGTATGGTTTTCGCGATTTTTCATTCAGTAGAATCCACGTTTCTCTTATCGAATAATTTATTACATTAAGTGCATCCTCTCATGACTCATCGAATAAAAATTTTCGACATTGCTCAAGTGACTTTATCTGCGCCTGGAGCCGCTGTCGGAAGTTTCATAATAACCTCGAATATTTCTTCCATCGATATTTCGGTACAACTGTCACCTGATCATGATATAACTAAAGGGGGATAAACATTAGTCGAAAAATGCTTTTCCAAACCTTGAGCTGTGCTTTCCAATGACTGCTTCAGTTCTTGAGGCAATAAAACTATAGATTCAGGATTCACTGCTTGAGGAATAAGTTTCTTATGTCTCAGAAATCCAAATAGAGCAATTTTCTTACTTAATTTCGAAATAAATTCAAAATGCTTGTCATCATACTCTGCCTTTGCTTTAGCCATCGTATGTTCATCTGCAATGAATTTATGATCTGATCAGATTTTAGGACACTGATTGTGTGATTGCTACTTCCAGGCAGCTTAACTACACCCGAAATTCTGAGTGCAGTTATCGTTACATCATGGCGACACAGGTTTGTTCAACTAAGTGAACCTGAAATTCCGCTTTTATACGTGACTCCTGTATATCTGAACAAATGCTCAACGCTTTTTGCTATACTGTTGCTTCTGACAGAGAATCCACAAAGCCTTGCAAGCTCCTTTTAAATATACTGTAATTTATGAACGTAAGTCTACCAGAAAGAACAGATATTAGTTAGTGAGCCTACAATGTTAATTATCACTGGAATGTGATCACTGTTAGTCGCAGAGTCAACAGTCGACCAAGGTGAGATGCGAAGGCCTGATCCCGAAAAAATCAAGTCTAAAGATGAGGATGACATCCCTCTGATAAAAGTGTGAATACCTGAGTTATGACAAGTGAGGCTATTGCCCTGAGACCAGTCCCATAATCGAGTAACACACCAGTCTGTCCTTAATCCCTAAGTTATGTGGTGGCAGTTGGTCTGCCGCCAATAGGGCATTATTACCGCTCCCGCCAATAGGGCATTTTAACATAGAGTTCATAATTCCATCTGGTTCGGGAGCTGTCCTCGGTAAGCATAATACTGTCTGGCTCAATTCATCTAACGAAACTTCTGGAAATTTATGCAAGTTTACCAGCGTGGGCCGAATAGCCCTAAAATTAGCAGTGAAGCGGCGTTCTAAACCTTGCGCTATGTCTTCTGGAGAGGTGTTCATTTCTTGCGGCGTCAAGACACATGACTGCAACATTGAAGAGACTGGCAGTCCTTTTCGTGTCCGAAGATAAGCCAACAAAGCACGCTTTTTTTTTATTTAGAAAGATAGCCGAAATGTCTACTGTCGTATTCTTCTTTCGCGCGGTTCACTGTACGCTTAAATACGCCAGCAAGGAATTGATAGTCCTTCCAGTTTGTTGGGCTTTGATTATGAAGTTTTTTCCCAAGCGGCTTTTCGTCTTCTATAATCGCGCGTACACTCATCGTTCCATCAACGAGAGGAGG